AGGCCACTCCAGCCTGCTGCACACGGCGAGAGTGTGTGTGGGGCGTGTGCAGGGGCATGAGTGTGTTGGTGTGCACGTGTCAAAGAGAGTACGTGTGTGAGAACACGTTTGTGACAATGTGGGTGTGCAGGGGCATGAGTGCAGGTGTACATGCAGGGGAGAGTGTGGTGGCAATGTGGGTGGACAGGGACATAAATGGGGGTGTACATGTAGGGGTGTGTGTGGTGACAACGTGGGTGTGAGTGTGGGTGCACACACATGCGGGGAGTGAGACTGGGTGTGTGCAAGGGTGTGAGTGTGGGCGCACACGCATGTGGAGAGTGAGACACTGTAGGTGTGGTGTGCAGGGGTGTGAGTGGGTGCACACACATGCAGAGAGTGAGACACTGTGGGTGTGGTATGCAGGGCGTTAGTGTGTGCATGTACACGCAGGGGTAGTGTGAGTGCCAGAATGTGTGAGTGACATGTGCGAGTGTGTAGGCGTGCACGGGAGCATGTGCATGAGCCCAACACGTGCGCCCCCTCTGCAGCCTGCCGTCAGAGGCTCTGAGCCCCTGCAGGCCCTCGGTGTGCGGTGGGCCGGAGGCTCCGGAGTCCAACACCGCTCCAGCTACTTGGTGGGCGCTGATGCAGCCCCTGGTGCTGGGCCCGAGGAGGCCTGGGGCACCCATGGGGCTCACAGGCTCGCGGGGGTGCCGCTGTATGCACGGTGGACAGGAAGAAAGGGCCGGTGGTCAGGGGGACTCCGGAGAGTCAAGGAGTCGCTGAGGCAGACCCCTGAGAGGTGAGGTCCAGGCCCCTCCGACTTCAGCGTCATGGCACTTCACAGGGGGACACTGAGGATGCCGCCTGGCAGTACCTGCTCGCAAAGTGACTGCTTGGCCTCCTGACCTCCTCCCAGAAAGGCAGGTCTCTGGGACTCGCACTGCCCGGTCAGCCAGCACCAGCTGGGAGGACGATGCTCAGAGGGCGAAGGAGGGGTGTTGGAGCATGGTGGTCTCAGGAAGGGGCCTGCTTTCCTCCCCCACGCTTCCCCCACTGGCCCCCACTCGCCCACCTTCACTGGGCCTGCTGGCCTCCGGGGTCCAGCCCCTCCTGGCTGCTGGAGACCCCGCCTCCCTGGTCAGGCCCCTGGCACACAGCAGCAGATCCCTCCCAGCGAGCAGGAGGCCCCACCTAGGGCCCTACCACACCAGGACGGAGCAGGCACCTCCCAGCTCAAGTCTGGGACATTTCCAGGGTCACAGCTGAGACAGGTGGATCAGAACCCTGCACGGCAGCCTCACACCCATGGTGCAGAGGCAGGGAGCCCGCAGGTGTAGACACACACCTGCACAGGGCTGCAGGTGCACACGCTCAGGGATTCGGCCCTGCACTAGGCTGACTGCCATCTGGGTGGCCTTGGGCAGCCTCCCAGCCTCTGGGCACCCAGCCAGAAATGAAGCCTGAGAGGCCCCCAACCAGCTGCCCTGGGTGTCCCTGGGTATGAGGGCTTGGGCAGCCCCTGGGTCCTGGGGCAACCCCTCCCTTTGGGGTGGGAGTCAAAAAGCCACTGGCATTGGTGTGTGTGTGTGGGGGTGGGGGGTGGGATGGCAGGGGGCTAGAGGGAGCCTCCTAGGCCCCGGTCAGCCCCCACAAGGAAGTCTGCCCTCTGTCTTCTGACCCTGGGCCCCACGTCCTGAACCCTGTCTGCACGAAGCTGACCCAGGCTGCTCCAGGTGGGCAGTGTCACCAACACCTAGGTGACCTAATCTTCCCCGCCTCCACCCAGCGTCTCTGTGTGGGCAGGGCCCTGGCCCTGGTCTCCCAACATCCGACCCAGCCTGCCTTGGCCTGAGCAGGGCCTAAGAGGCAGGACAGCGCAGCCCTGAGGACTCAAGTGTCGGGGAGGTGTGCCCCAGCCCCAGGGTGCCCCAGCTCCAAGTTCCCTGCAGTGAGAAGGGGGACCCGATGCCCTGCGCCCTCCCGTCAGTCTTTACAGCCAAAGGGACGGATTAAGAAAAAAAACACCTCCGGTCACATGGGAGGGCATGACAGGGCAGGGAGGTGACAGAGAGAGCGCTTCTATAGCCACCTAGGGAGGCCGTTTTCCGCCCCCACCGCCGCCCCGCAGCCCGAGGCAGCAAGGAAGAGCCCGCGCCCAGCCCGAGCGCGGCATTTCCCCGCGAAGCCGCCCCCTCCCGGT